AACAGCCGGTGAAGAGGCGGGAGTCAGCCTGGGAGAATGGGCGGCGGGCACTATCTGCGGTAAGTGTCAGCTGGTATCGGGAAATGCACATCGGCCGAATTACATGCCCACAGTATTTGTGGGGATGCAAATTCAGTTGCCGTTCCTCCATTCCATTGGCAAAATACAACTTGCATGGTAGAACGTGCAGATGTTCTTGCAAAGAAGTCCGTCTCCAATACAGGTGAATTGGCTGCAACCACAAAGGAGTAAGAACATCTCTTTACCAATGTTCACATGCTGTATTTTCTAGTGTCTATAATATGAAGGAGAAAGTTATTGTGGTGTTGTTTTCACTTCCCAATATTGGCAGTTTATTCATTCCCATTGAGAAGCTCTGTCTTGGGGGGGAGGGCGGTAAGGGAGAGCTCAGTGGTTTGAGCATTGACTTGCTTAAACCCAGGGTTGTGAGCTCAATCCTTGAGGGGCCATTTAGGGATCTGGGGCAAATTTGTCAGGGATGGTACTTGGTCCTGCTTGGTACTGAACTTGATGACCTCTCAAGGTCCCTTCCAGTTCTATGAGATAGGTATATCTCCATATATTGGTTATTGGTATTGGCTTTCTGATTTCCTGTGCAAAGCTCCATATGATTCCTTTTGTTCCTCTGTAACTATTTTTGTGCCTTGCCTTGAAGACTCAGTCATGGTAGGATATAGAAATATTTCATCTGAATAGCAATAATGTCATCATCTCTCCTGTCTCTGCTACTCCTGTGTGTGTACAAGAGGACATTAGGGTGTATACTGCCATAGACCGTTTCACGTCTTCACATGATTTTCCCTGTTCCCATAGCCGCCATCTCTTCCACTATGGAACCCTCCATATCACCGAGTGTCACGAACGCCACAGGTGAGTGGCAAACGCATGCTCTGGGAGCTACCGTTGAGGTCCGGGAGAAGCCTTTTTTAGAATAGTCACAGGAAATATCTTCTCTCGTGTGTTCCTTCCCCAGTTCCTCCAGGGCACTGTACCATGTCCTGTTCATTTGACGATGGCTTCTGTGACTGGACGCAGTCGATCTCTGACACCTTGGACTGGAAACGTCACAGGGGACCAACCGACTCACCAAACACGGGACCCTCCTACGATCACACCACAGGAGGTAGGGACTGCAGCCTATGCCCGGCTCTGTTGTATAATTCACGAATTCATGGCCAGTGGGACAGGAATTCAGGAGCAGGCTGGAGGGGTTTGGGATGACATATAGATTCCATGCCTATAGGGGCTGAGCCAGGAACCACAGGGGTCAATGAAAAGTCTTCTATTAAGATCAGCAACCTTGGATTATTACAGGTGTAATGGCAACTGGGGTGAAAGAATTACATCATCAAAAATTAGGAACTTCCCTATATGAAAGGGAGTGCTTACTTTCTGTATCAGAATCCGGCGCCTGCAAAACCAGCAGTCGTGCTTGCAAAGCAACATCTACAAATGACTGGATAAACAAATAAAAAGAGGATAGCTGATAGCACTGTTCAGAGTTTCTTTTGGAATTCTCTGAGCTTTTCTTCCATTCACTGGGAATGGGATTCCATGTGGTTTCTCTTACATTAAGGATGGAAATTCGCCAGCGCCCTTTATGCTGTTGGGAGCATTGTTATTGTCTGCCATGCCCTGTGGACTGTGCATTGCTTTGTAACACACTGTTTGTTTCAGACGGTTACTTCATCTATCTGCAAGGGAGCGAGGCCGGACAGGGAGACAGGGCTCACTTGGTGAGTCCTGTGTGCAGTGCCAGTGGACCGCACTGTTTCCGCTTCTGGTATCACATGTTCGGAGTAGCTCATGCAATGGCACTAAGAGTTTACGTCCAGGATGACGGAGAACTAGAGATGGTCTGGTCACAGAGAGGAAATAATGGCGACAGGTGGAACTTTGCTGAAGTCACTGTGCACAACAGAGGCAACATGCTGGTAGGTGAAGTCACTTGCCTTGGATCTTATAATGACTGGGCTTTGCATGAATAATTAATGAATACAGAATCAACTACCTCTGGCTTCTTCCCCTTCACCTAGATCCTGCTGGAGGGGGAGAGGGGTGAAGATTTCCGCAGTGACTTAGCAGTGGATGATGTATCTCTGGTGGATGGATATTGCCCAGGTACAGTGCATCACATCTGAGTTCCTGTTTGCATGGACAGGGACTCATGCTCTCCATTATCATTTTCTGGAACAAGAATATACAGTAAATTCCATGGCATTCTCTCATTATAGGAGATGAACCTACAACAACAGTGAGCCCTGGACCAGTCACCACTTCCTCTTCTTCCAGGACGACCATGTCACTTCCTCCAATTAGTTCAGGTGAATTTCTCTGACATGACCGTCTCCTTAAAAGTCTGTAACGAATTGGCATGTCACCCCAAACATCAGATTTTTCATGGCTCTTCTCCTCTTTGTATGAACGCAAGGGCAGAATATGTCCCAAAGGTTTAGAGATTCTCTAAGGGTGCGTGTGTCTGCACCTTTATTTCGAGATAACTAGCATGATTTCAGAAAAACAACTCGAGCATCTACATAGCTATTCTGGTATTTTGAAATAATTTTGAAATAACGGACGCCTTATTCCAAAATCTGTAAACCTCATTCGACGTGGAATAACCCCTTTTCCAAAATAGCTATTTCGAAATAAGGCGTGTGTCGATGCTCCACTGCTGCTATTTCAAAATAGCCCCTCCTCAGGACCATTCTAAGTTATTCCTCCCCAATGCCTCCCAGGGCTCTACATTGAGATAGCATGTCTACATTAGGGAAGGCTGCCTCGGACTAATTTTGTCCATCTCTGGTGGATGGATATTGCCCAGGTACAGTGCATCACATCAGATAGACAGGGCCTTTGGGAATCATGGTCCGCACTGCCATTGTCTGAAAAAGAATACAGGACATTTTCGTTACATTCTATGACATTCTCTCATTGTAGGACCTGGACCTACAATAGCAACCCTTGGACCAGTCACCACTTCTGCACGGACAATCACAGCACTTCCACTATTACGTTCAGGTGAATTTCTTTGACATGAATGTCTCCTTAAAAATCTGCAGATAATGGGCATGCCACCCCACAAGTCAGATTACGCACAGCTCTTCTACTCTTACTCTGCATGAATGTGAGGGCAGAATATGGCCCAAAAGCTTAGAATTTGTCTAAGTGACTAACAGTGTTGGTGTAGCCATCTTGATCCTAGGATATTACAGAGGCAAGGAGGGTGAGGTAATAGCTGTTATTGGACTAAGATATGTTAATAAGAGAGTGAAGTGTTGGACATTTCACCTTCTATTTTGCAGTGACACTCTGACTTAGTTTGGCACAACTGAAGGGAGCTCAGTGTGAACTCAATATTTTGTCTCTCTCACCAACGGAAGTTGGTCGGATACGAGATATTACCTCGCCAATCTTAACACAAAAGCATAGATAAAAACATAAGCAGGTCAAGACAGGGTCAGACCAAATGTCAGTCTAGCCCAGTATCCTGTCTTCCCACAGTGGCCAGTGCCAGGTGCCCCAGAGGGGATGAACAGAACAGGCAATCAGTAATCCCTCTGTCACCCATTCCTGGCTTATGGCAAACAGAGGCTAGGGGCACCATTCTGCCCATCTTAGCTAATAGCCATGGATGAACCTAAACTCCAGGAAACCCAGTTGCCCGACTCTGAGCGGACGGGAAACCGTTGCTGAAATAATTGAACTAAAGATGTGATTGACTGCGGTCAAAGCTTTTGCTACGGTCTCCCACGTAATTCTTGCCAGCAGGTTAAGGAAGTATGTATTGGATAAATGGACTCTAAGGTGGATAGATTGTCTGGCTCATCCGGTAGTGATCAATGGCTCAGCATTTTCAAGCTGAGTGCCCCAAGGATCGGTTTAGGACTGGTTCTGTTCAACATCTTTATTAATGACCTGGATGAGGGGATGGATTGCACACCTGGATGAGGAAATGGAAGTGATTATTCCGTTTATTAAACACTGGTGAAGACACATCTGGCGTATTGCATCCAATTCTGGTCTCTCCACTACTGGAAGGATGTGGACGCCTTGGAGAGGGTCCACAGAGGGCAAGCAAAATGGTTAGGGGGCTGGAGCACATGACCTATGAGGAGAGGCTGAGGGATTTGGGCTTGTTTAGTCTGCAGAGGAGAAGAGCAAGGGGGGATTTGACAACAGCCTTCAGCTCCCTGAAAGGGTGTTCCAAAGAGGAAGGAGAGAAGCTGTTCTCAGTAGTGACAGGTGTCACAACAAGGAACAATGGTCTCAAGTTACAGTGAGGGAGGTCTAGGTTGGATATTAGGAACATCTATTTCACTAGGAGGGTGGTAAACTACTGGAATGGGATACCTACAGAGGTAGTAGAATCTCTATCTTTAGAGCATTTTAAGTACCGGCTTGGCTGGATGATTGAGTTCCAGTTGGTCCTGCTTTGGGCAGTGAGTTGGACTCAGGAAACTCCTGCGGTCTCTTCTGGCCCTATGATTCCATTCCATAATTCTATGACTCTGCTTTGCCCCACAGAGTCCTGCGTGGTGGCCGGGGACCCTCACTACTACACCTTTGATAAACAAACCCATCATTTCATGGGGACCTGCGCCTACACGTTGTCCAAGCTGTGTGATGCAAATAGCACGCTGCCCAACTTCAACGTGGAAGCAGAGAACGAGCACAGAGGAGGCAACACTCACGTCTCCTACGTCCGGTCTGTGAACGTCGATGTTTATGGCCTCCGGATAACACTAGAGAAGGGGAGAGCCGTGAAGGTAGGTGCAGGCTGGGGTTGGAGCAGTTGCTGAGAATGCCCTTGGATGACCGAAGACTTACCAGCATGTCTAACCTTTCCGATGTCCAGGTCAATGGAGAGGGAGACATTATCATCCCCTTCGCACCATCGCCGGGTGTGCAAATCTCCTCCAGTGGGCTTTATGTCGTCGTCAGCACAGACTTCGGGTTGACCGTGAAGTTTGATGGGGACCATCGAGTGGAAGTGACCCTTCCCGGCTCCTTTGAAGGGAAGGTGTGTGGGATGTGTGGGAATTACAACGGGAACGCCACAGACGACTTTCTGAATCCAGACGGGGCCTTGGAGCCAGACTCTACCAGCCTTGGCAACAGCTGGCAGGTCTCCAACCACACCAGGTTTGTAGCTCTCGTGGCAGATCTGCAGTTCTCGGAGAGGTATGGAATGTCAAGGGAAAGCCACCCAACAAACCGTGGACTTCTCTCCTTTCTCTCAGTTGTCCTCCAGCACCAGGCCACGATCCAGTGTGCGACGACAGCGATAAGCAAATCATTGCCAGCGGTGCTTTCTGCGGTCTCCTGACAGATGTGAATGGCCCATTTAGGAAGTGCCACCCCAAGCTAGACCCCAACAGTTACTTCAGCAGCTGCTTTTATGACCAATGTGAATTGCAAATGGATCCCGACTCTCTCTGCAAGAGCCTGCAAGCTTATGCAGATGCCTGTCGCGCAGGTGGCGCTCAGATAGATTCCTGGAGGAATGCTACCTTCTGTCGTAAGTACAAGTACCCGAGAGCTTTGCCACTGTGATTTCTTGCATGGCTTTGGAATGACTTCCCTGGCTCAAGGCAGGAAATTGTTTGGAACCAGGACAACGTGAAAGCCTCGCATGTGCTAACTCGTTCTTTGAGGGGGATTGTGCATCGGGCTCTTCTGTAGATGCACCAGAGCCTTGTGAGTCTCCTTTTCAGAGACATCAAAAAGGAATCGATTGACGCAGCTGATGCTGCACCTAAGGAGGCCTGAAAAGAGCATGTCCTCACACTGCATATGAGTTCCTTGCCATGTGATTATTCCAACCCCTTCTGGTCTAATGACAATGCTTTTGTTTCTCCAGCAATTCTCTGTCAACCCAACAGTCACTATGAAGCATGCACGGCAGCCTGCCCTGCCACCTGTGCCAACCCAAGGGCTCCTGCCAGCTGCAGCCAGCCGTGTGTGGAAGGATGCGTGTGCGACAGTGGCTATCTTCTCTACAACGATGGCTGTGTCCCCAGCAGCCAGTGTGGGTGCTGGCACAATGGCAAACACTACCCGGTTGGTGCCGAATTCTGGACAGATGACACCTGCTCCTCTAAATGCAGGTGTCCATCTCAGGGGAGCAAAGTAACGTGCTCCAGCGCTTCCTGCCCAAGTGACCATTACTGTGGGGTTCAGAACGGAGAACCTGGCTGCTACCCCGAGACTTACGGGATCTGCCGAGTGCACAACGATCCCCATTACAACACCTTTGACAGAGAGACTCACCACTTCATGGGGATCTGCACCTACACGCTGGCCAAAGAATGCGTCAACTCCAGCTCTCTGCCTTATTTCAACATCGAAGCCAAGAACGAGCATCGAGGGAACCCCACGGTGTCCTACGTGCAGAAAGTCCTGGTGGAGGTTTATGGAGAACACATAGAAATTCTCAAGAATCATCCAAGCCAAGTGCTGGTAAGGAGCATCCCCTTGGGAGGGGGATAGCAAATTAGGATGGAGCTTGGCTCTGGGTCCTTCTGTAGAAGTGACCCTTTCTCACTCTGAGCCATGGAATAGCAATCCATGACTCTTGGACTTTCAAACTTTGTATCGAGACGGTCTGAAGAGACCGTCCGCAGGAGACACCAGGAGCCTTACTGAGGTTTCCATGTTACATCCGGGCAACTTGCTCCGAGCTAGAAACTATCTGGAAAGTTATGTCACTGATTCACATAGAATCATTTGCAGGGAATGCACCCATTCCGTTTCCAATTTCTTCCTAGGGCCTCCCTCTGTGGAAATCACATGGTACTTTTCCTTCTGTTTCCCATTAGGTCAACAAGGTGCTAATGACCCTTCCCGTAAGCGCCGCTGGTGGCTCAATCACAGTGAGCAGGAGTGGACGATACGTCACCCTAGAGACGGATTTCAGACTGCGGGTTTCCTATGACACCGATCACTCGGTGGAAGTGAGGGTGCCCACCACCTATTTCAACAGCACCTGTGGCATGTGCGGTAACTTTAACAATCGGAGAGACGATGACTACATGATGCCCGACGGGCAGCAAGCCAAGAATTCCAATGAGCTGGGAAACAGCTGGCGCGTAAGAGACGACAATCCCTCTTGCAGTGACCCCGTTCCACCAGATATCTGCCCTGTGGAGAAGGAGAACCTCTACAAAACGGACAGATACTGTGGCCTCATAACTAAAAGGCTGGGGCCCTTCGCAGCCTGCCACTCCGTGATCAACCCTGAGAGCTTCTTTGAGAGCTGTGTCTATGACCTCTGCGCCCTAAACGGGAGTGAGGGGGTCCTGTGCAGAACTCTGGAGGCCTACGCCGACGCGTGTCAGACCGCTGGAGTCATGCTCTCCCAGTGGAGAAATGCCACCTTCTGCCGTGAGTAGCAAACGCGGAGCATCCGGAATTTGGCAGCTCCCAAATTAATTCTTCAGAGTGATGATGAAAGAAGAGCCCTTGTGTGCTACATCAGGTCGGGGCCCCGATTTTGTTCCGGGACAGAGGAAGGCTGCCCGCCTCACCACAAGTTGTCAAAGCCCAGGTTCTGTTTCAGCCATACCAGGGTCGGCCACCGCAGGGCTACTTACAAACTCCCTTTCTGGCCATACCAGGCTTGGCAGCAGGTCTCCCGGGTCTTCAGGCAATGGAGTACCTGTCGGGGCTTGGAGCTCCTGTGAGTCTGGGTTCCATTAGGGTGGCCATCCCATCTGGGTCATAGGGGAGCCGACCCACCTCCTTATACCTTGTCACCGCATTTCTCTCCGGGTGGGGTGTGTTCCCAAGCTGTCCTTCTTGGTAGTAATTCCCCTCCCCCTCTTACCCTTTCAGCTCCCACGTGTCGCGATTCCAACAGCCACTATGAGCCTTGTATGACTGCCTGCCCTGCCACCTGTCTGGACCGCCTTGCTCCTGAGAACTGCAGCAAGCCCTGTGTGGAGGGATGCGCGTGTAATTCTGGGTTCGTCCTCAGCGGAGGCACCTGTGTGCCGGTGGGCAAGTGCGGCTGTGTGTTCCAGGACCGGTACTACAGTGTGAGTGACCCCGCTGACTTCAGGACGCTGGCAGGAGACTGATCTGTCAGCATCACCCCCTTTGACGGCGTTCCTTTTTGTATTTCTTGCGTGTGTCTCCCCGCAGGAAGGAGAGAGCGTGGTGACCGAGGACTGCACCAGCCGGTGCCAGTGTCTGGGAAATGGCAACATGACGTGCAGCGCGCTGTCTTGTCAGCCACATGAGATCTGCAAGATTCAAAACGGCCTGCGGGGGTGTTATCCACCAAGCACCGCTACCTGCCACATCTACGGCGACCCCCACTACACCACCTTCGATGGGAAACTTCACCACTTCCAGGGGGCCTGCAACTACACCGTGGTGGAGACCTGCAATAACTCCTCCGGCGGATTTAAGCTTACCACCCGAAATGAGCACAGGGGCAACCCCAGCTGGACAGCCATTAACTCCGTCGCTCTCACCCTGCAGGGCGTCCACATTGCTCTCCGGAAGAACAGGATCGTCTATGTAAGTGTCTTCCTCGTCGTAATCCGGACTGTAGCCCCTGTGTGCATGTCAGCTCATGGGAATCTGCTTTAACCAGCCTAGAGTCAGCTCCTTAAGCTGTCAACTTGTTACAAGAAATAGACTCTGTGATATCTTAGACTCCTTGTCACTGCCCAGTCATTTGAATTAACATCTTAGAATCAAGTGTCCGGATTACCATGTGGGCCTGTGTGACCCGCTTTTCCTCTCTGTTTCTCAGGGCACCTCTCTGTACAGGCAGCATGCCAACCCTCTCCTGCCTTGAGTGGTTTTCAGCAGTCCATACTGCATAACTTTCAGTGCTTTTTAACAGCTGAGAAATGATCCACACATGGCTTTAGTTTATACTTTGCAGACCATCGTGTCTAGAAATGTTTGTGCCCCAGAATATTCTTCTTCATTCTACACTAGGTGCAAAGTACAGAAAAAAGAGCCTTTGAGAACATCACAGTGGAGAACATGTGCTTTTCTCTCTGCTGACTCTTTCTACTTTCCTTCTGTCTCTCATTCCCATTCAGATTAACGGTGCCCTGGCCTCTCCCCCTGTAACTCCTCTCCCCGGAGTGACCGTTTCGCTCATCGGACACTACGTACACGTGACTACACCCCTGGGCCTGCAGCTACAGTTCAATGGGGACCATGAGCTCTTTGTAAGAGTGACGGAGAAGCACAAAGGGAGTCTGTGTGGATTGTGCGGGACGTACACAGGGACCCAGCAGGATGACTTCACCAGACCCGATGGGGTCGTGGTGGCAGACGTCAATGAATTTGGAGCCAGCTGGAGCGTGCCTGACGACGAGTGGCCGTGAGTAGACGTTCTAGATCGTATGGCCATATATTTAATTAGGAACTTAAGGGAACTTGCTGACTGTGGAATCGGTACCTGTGTTAGACTCACCGATACATAATAATGCCAGTCTGAACGTTTATCCAGCTGTAAACTTCACAAGCTATAGGGGAGTTGTGGCCAAAGTTTTAGGTCCTCCTTTCTCTTGTTTTACGCAGTGAACTAAGTTTTCATCTTTCTGTTTTATGTTGAACTGGGGATTGGGTTGCTCTGCAGTAGCTGTGACTGACTTCTCTCCAGTTCAGTGATATCATTGTCTCTGTGGCTCTTTGGAGTATTTAATCCTTTTGCTTTTTGTCTTTCAGTTGCAACTCAACTGTGGCCCCACCGGTAACGTGCTCTTCCTCCGAGCAGCAGGCAGCCGAGGGGCGGTGCAGAATCCTGACAGACCGAGATGGCCCGTTCGCCCCGTGCCATGCTGCGGTGCCGCCTCACCTCTACTTTGAGAGCTGCGTCTACGATCAGTGTGCTGCAGGGGGAAGCTCTGAGCAGCTCTGCAATGATCTGGAATCCTATGCAACAGCCTGTGCAGAGGCGGGAGTCAGCCTGGGAGAATGGGCGGCGGGCACTATCTGCGGTAAGTGTCAGCTGGTATCGGGAAATGCACATCGGCCGAATTACATGCCCACAGTATTTGTGGGGATGCAAATTCAGTTGCCGTTCCTCCATTCCATTGGCAAAATACAACTTGCATGGTAGAACGTGCAGATGTTCTTGCAAAGAAGTCCGTCTCCAATACAGGTGAATTGGCTGCAACCACAAAGGAGTAAGAACATCTCTTTACCAATGTTCACATGCTGTATTTTCTAGTGTCTATAATATGAAGGAGAAAGTTATTGTGGTGTTGTTTTCACTTCCCAATATTGGCAGTTTATTCATTCCCATTGAGAAGCTCTGTCTTGGGGGGGAGGGCGGTGGCCAAAGCTTTAGGTCCTCCTTTCTCTTGTTTTATGCAGTGAACTCAGTTTTCATCTTTCTGTTTTATGTTGAACTGGGGATTGGGTTGCTCTGCAGTAGCTGTGACTGACTGCTCTCCTGTTCAGTGATATCATTGTCTCTGTGGCTCTTTGGAGTATTTAATCCTTTTGCTTTTTGTCTTTCAGTTGCAACTCAACTGTGGCCCCACCGGTAACGTGCTCTTCCTCCGAGCAGCAGGCAGCCGAGGGGCGGTGCAGAATCCTGACAGACCGAGATGGCCCGTTCGCCCCGTGCCATGCTGCGGTGCCGCCTCACCTCTACTTTGAGAGCTGCGTCTACGATCAGTGTGCTGCAGGGGGAAGCTCTGAGCAGCTCTGCAATGATCTGGAATCCTATGCAACAGCCTGTGAAGAGGCGGGAGTCAGCCTGGGAGAATGGACGGCGGGCACTATCTGCGGTAAGTGTCAGCTGGTATCGGGAAATGCACATCGGCCGAATTACATGCCCACAGTATTTGTGGGGATGCAAATTCAGTTGCCGTTCCTCCATTCCATTGGCAAAATACAACTTGCATGGTAGAACGTGCAGATGTTCTTGCAAAGAAGTCCGTCTCCAATACAGGTGAATTGGCTGCAACCACAAAGGAGTAAGAACATCTCTTTACCAATGTTCACATGCTGTATTTTCTAGTGTCTATAATATGAAGGAGAAAGTTATTGTGGTGTTGTTTTCACTTCCCAATATTGGCAGTTTATTCATTCCCATTGAGAAGCTCTGTCTTGGGGGGGAGGGCGGTAAGGGAGAGCTCAGTGGTTTGAGCATTGACTTGCTTAAACCCAGGGTTGTGAGCTCAATCCTTGAGGGGCCATTTAGGGATCTGGGGCAAATTTGTCAGGGATGGTACTTGGTCCTGCTTGGTACTGAACTTGATGACCTCTCAAGGTCCCTTCCAGTTCTATGAGATAGGTATATCTCCATATATTGGTTATTGGTATTGGCTTTCTGATTTCCTGTGCAAAGCTCCATATGATTCCTTTTGTTCCTCTGTAATTATTTTTGTAACTTGCCTTGAAGATGCAAAGCTCCATATGATTCCTTTTGTTCCTCTGTAACTATTTTTGTGCCTTGCCTTGAAGACTCAGTCATGGTAGGATATAGAAATATTTCATCTGAATAGCAATAATGTCATCATCTCTCCTGTCTCTGCTACTCCTGTGTGTGTACAAGAGGACATTAGGGTGTATACTGCCATAGACCGTTTCACGTCTTCACATGATTTTCCCTGTTCCCATAGCCGCCATCTCTTCCACTATGGAACCCTCCATATCACCGAGTGTCACGAACGCCACAGGTGAGTGGCAAACGCATGCTCTGGGAGCTACCGTTGAGGTCTGGGAGAAGCCTTTTTTAGAATCATCACAGGAAATATCTTCTCTCTTCTTTTCCTTCCCCAGTTCCTCCAGTGCACTGTAGCATGTCCTGTTCATTTGACCATGGCTTCTGTGACTGGACGCAGTCGATCTCTGACACCTTGGACTGGAAACGTCACAGGGGACCAACCGACTCACCAAACACGGGACCCTCCTACGATCACACCACAGGAGGTAGGGACTGCAGCCTATACCTGGCTCTGTTGTATAATTCACGAATTCATGGCCAGTGGGACAGGAATTCAGGAGCAGGCTGGAGGGGTTTTGGATGACATATAGATTCCATGCCCGTAGGGGCTGAGCCAGGAATCACGGGGTCAATGAAAAGTCTGCTATTAAGATCAGCAACCTTGGATTATTACAGGTGTAATGGCAACTGGGGTGAAAGAATTACATCATCAAAAATTAGGAACTTCCCTATATGGAAGGGAGTGCTTACTTTCTGTATCAGAAACCGGCTCCTGCAAAACCAGCAGTCGTGCTTGCAAAGCAACATCTACAAATGACTGGATAAACAAATAAAAAGAGGATAGCTGATAGCACTGTTCAGAGTTTCTTTTGGAATTCTCTGAGCTTTTCTTCCATTCACTGGGAATGGGATTCCATGTGGTTTCTCTTACATTAAGGATGGAAATTCGCCAGCGCCCTTTATGCTGTTGGGAGCATTGTCATTGTCTGTCGTGCCCTGTGGACTGTGCATTGCTTTGTAACACACTGTTTGTTTCAGACGGTTACTTCATCTATCTGCAAGGGAGCGAGGCCGGACAGGGAGACAGGGCTCACTTGGTGAGTCCTGTGTGCAGTGCCAGTGGACCGCACTGTTTCCGCTTCTGGTATCACATGTTCGGAGTAGCTCATGCAATGGCACTAAGAGTTTACGTCCAGGATGACGGAGAACTAGAGATGGTCTGGTCACAGAGAGGAAATAATGGCGACAGGTGGAACTTTGCTGAAGTCACTGTGCACAACAGAGGCAACATGCTGGTAGGTGAAGTCACTTGCCTTGGATCTTATAATGACTGGGCTTTGCATGAATAATTAATGAATACAGAATCAACTACCTCTGGCTTCTTCCCCTTCACCTAGATCCTGCTGGAGGGGGAGAGGGGTGAAGATTTCCGCAGTGACTTAGCAGTGGATGATGTATCTCTGGTGGATGGATATTGCCCAGGTACAGTGCATCACATCTGAGTTCCTGTTTGCATGGACAGGGACTCATGCTCTCCATTATCATTTTCTGGAACAAGAATATACAGTAAATTCCATGGCATTCTCTCATTATAGGAGATGAACCTACAACAACAGTGAGCCCTGGACCAGTCACCACTTCCTCTTCTTCCAGGACGACCATGTCACTTCCTCCAATTAGTTCAGGTGAATTTCTCTGACATGACCGTCTCCTTAAAAGTCTGTAACGAATTGGCATGTCACCCCAAACATCAGATTTTTCATGGCTCTTCTCCTCTTTGTATGAACGCAAGGGCAGAATATGTCCCAAAGGTTTAGAGATTCTCTAAGGGTGCGTGTGTCTGCACCTTTATTTCGAGATAACTAGCATGATTTCAGAAAAACAACTCGAGCATCTACATAGCTATTCTGGTATTTTGAAATAATTTTGAAATAACGGACGCCTTATTCCAAAATCTGTAAACCTCATTCGACGTGGAATAACCCCTTTTCCAAAATAGCTATTTCGAAATAAGGCGTGTGTCGATGCTCCACTGCTGCTATTTCAAAATAGCCCCTCCTCAGGACCATTCTAAGTTATTCCTCCCCAATGCCTCCCAGGGCTCTACATTGAGATAGCATGTCTACATTAGGGAAGGCTGCCTCGGACTAATTTTGTCCATCTCTGGTGGATGGATATTGCCCAGGTACAGTGCATCACATCAGATAGACAGGGCCTTTGGGAATCATGGTCCGCACTGCCATTGTCTGAAAAAGAATACAGGACATTTTCGTTACATTCTATGACATTCTCTCATTGTAGGACCTGGACCTACAATAGCAACCCTTGGACCAGTCACCACTTCTGCACGGACAATCACAGCACTTCCACTATTACGTTCAGGTGAATTTCTTTGACATGAATGTCTCCTTAAAAATCTGCAGATAATGGGCATGCCACCCCACAAGTCAGATTACGCACAGCTCTTCTACTCTTACTCTGCATGAATGTGAGGGCAGAATATGGCCCAAAAGCTTAGAATTTGTCTAAGTGACTAACAGTGTTGGTGTAGCCATCTTGATCCTAGGATATTACAGAGGCAAGGAGGGTGAGGTAATAGCTGTTATTGGACTAAGATATGTTAATAAGAGAGTGAAGTGTTGGACATTTCACCTTCTATTTTGCAGTGACACTCTGACTTAGTTTGGCACAACTGAAGGGAGCTCAGTGTGAACTCAATATTTTGTCTCTCTCACCAACGGAAGTTGGTCGGATACGAGATATTACCTCGCCAATCTTAACACAAAAGCATAGATAAAAACATAAGCAGGTCAAGACAGGGTCAGACCAAATGTCAGTCTAGCCCAGTATCCTGTCTTCCCACAGTGGCCAGTGCCAGGTGCCCCAGAGGGGATGAACAGAACAGGCAATCAGTAATCCCTCTGTCACCCATTCCTGGCTTATGGCAAACAGAGGCTAGGGGCACCATTCTGCCCATCTTAGCTAATAGCCATGGATGAACCTAAACTCCAGGAAACCCAGTTGCCCGACTCTGAGCGGACGGGAAACCGTTGCTGAAATAATTGAACTAAAGATGTGATTGACTGCGGTCAAAGCTTTTGCTACGGTCTCCCACGTAATTCTTGCCAGCAGGTTAAGGAAGTATGTATTGGATAAATGGACTCTAAGGTGGATAGATTGTCTGGCTCATCCGGTAGTGATCAATGGCTCAGCATTTTCAAGCTGAGTGCCCCAAGGATCGGTTTAGGACTGGTTCTGTTCAACATCTTTATTAATGACCTGGATGAGGGGATGGATTGCACCCCTGGATGAGGAAATGGAAGTGATTATTCCGTTTATTAAACACTGGTGAAGACACATCTGGCGTATTGCATCCAATTCTGGTCTCTCCACTACTGGAAGGATGTGGACGCCTTGGAGAGGGTCCACAGAGGGCAAGCAAAATGGTTAGGGGGCTGGAGCACATGACCTATGAGGAGAGGCTGAGGGATTTGGGCTTGTTTAGTCTGCAGAGGAGAAGAGCAAGGGGGGATTTGACAACAGCCTTCAGCTCCCTGAAAGGGTGTTCCAAAGAGGAAGGAGAGAAGCTGTTCTCAGTAGTGACAGGTGTCACAACAAGGAACAATGGTCTCAAGTTACAGTGAGGGAGGTCTAGGTTGGATATTAGGAACATCTATTTCACTAGGAGGGTGGTAAACTACTGGAATGGGATACCTACAGAGGTAGTAGAATCTCTATCTTTAGAGCATTTTAAGTACCGGCTTGGCTGGATGATTGAGTTCCAGTTGGTCCTGCTTTGGGCAGTGAGTTGGACTCAGGAAACTCCTGCGGTCTCTTCTGGCCCTATGATTCCATTCCATAATTCTATGACTCTGCTTTGCCCCACAGAGTCCTGCGTGGTGGCCGGGGACCCTCACTACTACACCTTTGATAAACAAACCCATCATTTCATGGGGACCTGCGCCTACACGTTGTCCAAGCTGTGTGATGCAAATAGCACGCTGCCCAACTTCAACGTGGAAGCAGAGAACGAGCACAGAGGAGGCAACACTCACGTCTCCTACGTCCGGTCTGTGAACGTCGATGTTTATGGCCTCCGGATAACACTAGAGAAGGGGAGAGCCGTGAAGGTAGGTGCAGGCTGGGGTTGGAGTAGTTGCTGAGAATGCCCTTGGATGACCGAGGACTTACAAGCATGTCCAACCTTTCTGATGTCCAGGTCAACGGAGAGGGAGACATTATCATCCCCTTCGCACCATCACTGGGTGTGCAAATCTCCTCCAGTGGGCTTTATGTCGTCGTTAGCACAGACTTTGGGTTGACCGTGAAGTTTGATGGGGACCATCGAGTGGAAGTGACCCTTCCCGGCTCCTTTGAAGGGAAGGTGTGTGGGATGTGTGGGAATTACAACGGGAACGCCACAGACGACTTTCTGAATCCAGACGGGGCCTTGGAGCCAGACTCTACCAGCCTTGGCAACAGCTGGCAGGTCTCCAACCACACCAGGTTTGTAGCTCTCGTGGCAGATCTGCAGTTCTCGGAGAGGTATGGAATGTCAAGGGAAAGCCACCCAACAAACCGTGGACTTCTCTCCTTTCTCTCAGTTGTCCTCCAGCACCAGGCCACGATCCAGTGTGCGACGACAGCGATAAGCAAATCATTGCCAGCGGTGCTTTCTGCGGTCTCCTGACAGATGTGAATGGCCCATTTAGGAAGTGCCACCCCAAGCTAGACCCCAACAGTTACTTCAGCAGCTGCTTTTATGACCAATGTGAATTGCAAATGGATCCCGACTCTCTCTGCAAGAGCCTGCAAGCTTATGCAGATGCCTGTCGCGCAGGTGGCGCTCAGATAGATTCCTGGAGGAATGCTACCTTCTGTCGTAAGTACAAGTACCCGAGAGCTTTGCCACTGTGATTTCTTGCATGGCTTTGGAATGACTTCCCTGGCTCAAGGCAGGAAATTGTTTGGAACCAGGACAACGTGAAAGCCTCGCATGTGCTAACTCGTTCTTTGAGGGGGATTGTGCATCGGGCTCTTCTGTAGATGCACCAGAGCCTTGTGAGTCTCCTTTTCAGAGACACCAAAAAGGAATCGATTGACGCAGCTGATGCTGCACCTAAGGAGGCCTGAAAAGAGCATGTCCTCACACTGCATATGAGTTCCTTGCCATGTGATTATTCCAACCCCTTCTGGTCTTATAACAATGCTTTTGTTTCTCCAGCAATTCTCTGTCAACCCAACAGTCACTATGAAGCATGCACGGCAGCCTGCCCTGCCACCTGTGCCAACCCAAGGGCTCCTGCCAGCTGCAGCCAGCCGTGTGTGGAAGGATGCGTGTGCGACAGTGGCTATCTTCTCTACAACGATGGCTGTGTCCCCAGCAGCCAGTGTGGGTGCTGGCACAATGGCAAACACTACCCGGTTGGTGCCGAATTCTGGACAGATGACACCTGCTCCTCTAAATGCAGGTGTCCATCTCAGGGGAGCAAAGTAACGTGCTCCAGCGCTTCCTGCCCAAGTGACCATTACTGTGGGGTTCAGAACGGAGAACCTGGCTGCTACCCCGAGACTTACGGGATCTGCCGAGTGCACAACGATCCCCATTACAACACCTTTGACAGAGAGACTCACCACTTCATGGGGATCTGCACCTACACGCTGGCCAAAGAATGCGTCAACTCCAGCTCTCTGCCTTATTTCAACATCGAAGCCAAGAACGAGCATCGAGGGAACCCCACGGTGTCCTACGTGCAGAAAGTCCTGGTGGAGGTTTATGGAGAACACATAGAAATTCTCAAGAATCATCCAAGCCAAGTGCTGGTAAGGAGCATCCCCTCGGGAGGGGGATGGCAAATTAGGATGGAGCTTGGCTCTGGGTCCTTCTGTAGAAGTGACCCTTTCTCACTCTGAGCCATGGAATAGCAATCCATGACTCTTGGACTTTCAAACTTTGTATCGAGACGGTCTGAAGAGACCGTCCGCAGGAGACACCAGGAGCCTTACTGAGGTTTCCATGTTACATCCGGGCAACTTGCTCCGAGCTAGAAACTATCTGGAAAGTTATGTCACTGATTCACATAGAATCATTTGCAGGGAATGCACCCATTCCGTTTCCAATTTCTTCCTAGGGCCTCCCTCTGTGGAAATCACATGGTACTTTTCCTTCTGTTTCCCATTAGGTCAACAAGGTGCTAATGACCCTTCCCGTAAGCGCCGCTGGTGGCTCAATCACAGTGAGCAGGAGTGGACGATACGTCACCCTAGAGACGGATTTCAGACTGCGGGTTTCCTATGACACCGATCACTCGGTGGAAGTGAGGGTGCCCACCACCTATTTCAACAGCACCTGTGGCATGTGCGGTAACTTTAACAATCGGAGAGACGATGACTACATGATGCCCGACGGGCAGCAAGCCAAGAATTCCAATGAGCTGGGAAACAGCTGGCGCATAAGAGACGACGATCCCTCTTGCGATGACCCCGTTCCACCAGATATCTGCCCTGTGGAGAAGGAGAACCTCTACAAAACGGACAGATACTGTGGCCTCATAACTAAAAGGCTGGGGCCCTTCGCAGCCTGCCACTCCGTGATCAACCCTGAGAGCTTCTTTGAGAGCTGTGTCTATGACCTCTGCGCCCTAAACGGGAGTGAGGGGGTCCTGTGCAGAACTCTGGAGGCCTACGCCGACGCGTGTCAGACCGCTGGAGTCATGCTCTCCCAGTGGAGAAATGCCACCTTCTGCCGTGAGTAGCAAACGCGGAGCATCCGGAATTTGGCAGCTCCCAAATTAATTCTTCAGAGTGATGATGAAAGAAGAGCCCTTGTGTGCTACATCAGGTCGGGGCCCCGATTTTGTTCCGGGACAGAGGAAGGCTGCCCGCCTCACCACAAGTTGTCAAAGCCCAGGTTCTGTTTCAGCCATACCAGGGTCGGCCACCGCAGGGCTACTTACAAACTCCCTTTCTGGCCATACCAGGCTTGGCAGCAGGTCTCCCGGGTCTTCAGGCAATGGAGTACCTGTCGGGGCTTGGAGCTCCTGTGAGTCTGGGTTCCATTAGGGTGGCCATCCCATCTGGGTCATAGGGGAGCCGACCCACCTCCTTATACCTTGTCACCGCATTTCTCTCCGGGTGGGGTGTGTTCCCAAGCTGTCCTTCTTGGTAGTAATTCCCCTCCCCCTCTTACCCTTTCAGCTCCCACGTGTCGCGATTCCAACAGCCACTATGAGCCTTGTATGACTGCCTGCCCTGCCACCTGTCTGGACCGCCTTGCTCCTGAGAACTGCAGCAAGCCCTGTGTGGAGGGATGCGCGTGTAATTCTGGGTTCGTCCTCAGCGGAGGCACCTGTGTGCCGGTGGGCAAGTGCGGCTGTGTGTTCCAGGACCGGTACTACAGTGTGAGTGACCCCGCTGACTTCAGGACGCTGGCAGGAGACTGATCTGTCAGCATCACCCCCTTTGACGGCGTTCCTTTTTGTATTTCTTGCGTGTGTCTCCCCGCAGGAAGGAGAGAGCGTGGTGACCGAGGACTGCACCAGCCGGTGCCAGTGTCTGGGAAATGGCAACATGACGTGCAGCGCGCTGTCTTGTCAGCCACATGAGATCTGCAAGATTCAAAACGGCCTGCGGGGGTGTTATCCACCAAGCACCGCTACCTGCCACATCTACGGCGACCCCCACTACACCACCTTCGATGGGAAACTTCACCACTTCCAGGGGGCCTGCAACTACACCGTGGTGGAGACCTGCAATAACTCCTCCGGCGGATTTAAGCTTACCACCCGAAATGAGCACAGGGGCAACCCCAGCTGGACAGCCATTAACTCCGTCGCTCTCACCCTGCAGGGCGTCCACATTGCTCTCCGGAAGAACAGGATCGTCTATGTAAGTGTCTTCCTCGTCGTAATCCGGACTGTAGCCCCTGTGTGCATGTCAGCTCGTGGGAATCTGCTTTAACCAGCCTAGAGTCAGCTCCTTAAGCTGTCAACTTGTTACAAGAAATAGACTCTGTGATATCTTAGACTCCTTGTCACTGCCCAGTCATTTGAATTAACATCTTGGAATCAAGTGTCCGGATTACCATCTGGGCCTGGGTGACCCGCTTTTCCTCTCTGTTTCTCAGGGCACCTCTCTGTACAGGCAGCATGCCAACCCTCTCCTGCCTTGAGTGGTTTTCAGCAGTCCATACTGCATAACTTTCAGTGCTTTTTAACAGCTGAGAAATGATCCACACATGGCTTTAGTTTATACTTTGCAGACCATCGTGTCTAGAAATGTTTGTGCCCCAGAATATTCTTCTTCATTCTACACTAGGTGCAAAGTACAGAAAAAAGAGCCTTTGAGAACATCACAGTGGAGAACATGTGCTTTTCTCTCTGCTGACTCTTTCTACTTTCCTTCTGTCTCTCATTCCCATTCAGATTAACGGTGCCCTGGCCTCTCCCCCTGTAACTCCTCTCCCCGGAGTGACCGTTTCGCTCATCGGACACTACGTACACGTGACTACACCCCTGGGCCTGCAGCTACAGTTCAATGGGGACCATGAGCTCTTTGTAAGAGTGACGGAGAAGCACAAAGGGAGTCTGTGTGGATTGTGCGGGACGTACACAGGGACCCAGCAGGATGACTTCACCAGACCCGATGGGGTCGTGGTGGCAGACGTCAATGAATTTGGAGCCAGCTGGAGCGTGCCTGACGACGAGTGGCCGTGAGTAGAAGTTCTAGATCGTATGGCCATATATTTAATTAGGAACTTAAGGGAACTTGCTGACTGTGGAATCGGTACCTGTGTTAGACTCACCGATACATAATAATGCCAGTCTGAACGTTTATCCAGCTGTAAACTTCACAAGCTATAGGGGAGTTGTGGCCAAAGCTTTAGGTCCTCCTTTCTCTTGTTTTATGCAGTGAACTCAGTTTTCATCTTTCTGTTTTATGTTGAACTGGGGATTGGGTTGCTCTGCAGTAGCTGTGACTGACTGCTCTCCTGTTCAGTGATATCATTGTCTCTGTGGCTCTTTGGAGTATTTAATCCTTTTGCTTTTTGTCTTTCAGTTGCAACTCAACTGTGGCCCCACCGGTAACGTGCTCTTCCTCCGAGCAGCAGGCAGCCGAGGGGCGGTGCAGAATCCTGACAGACCGAGATGGCCCGTTCGCCCCGTGCCATGCTGCGGTGCCGCCTCACCTCTACTTTGAGAGCTGCGTCTACGATCAGTGTGCTGCAGGGGGAAGCTCTGAGCAGCTCTGCAATGATCTGGAATCCTATGCAACAGCCTGTGAAGAGGCGGGAGTCAGCCTGGGAGAATGGACGGCGGGCACTATCTGCGGTAAGTGTCAGCTGGTATCGGGAAATGCACATCGGCCGAATTACATGCCCACAGTATTTGTGGGGATGCAAATTCAGTTGCCGTTCCTCCATTCCATTGGCAAAATACAACTTGCATGGTAGAACGTGCAGATGTTCTTGCAAAGAAGTCCGTCTCCAATACAGGTGAATTGGCTGCAACCACAAAGGAGTAAGAACATCTCTTTACCAATGTTCACATGCTGTATTTTCTAGTGTCTATAATATGAAGGAGAAAGTTATTGTGGTGTTGTTTTCACTTCCCAATATTGGCAGTTTATTCATTCCCATTGAGAAGCTCTGTCTTGGGGGGGAGGGCGGTAAGGGAGAGCTCAGTGGTTTGAGCATTGACTTGCTTAAACCCAGGGTTGTGAGCTCAATCCTTGAGGGGCCATTTAGGGATCTGGGGCAAATTTGTCAGGGATGGTACTTGGTCCTGCTTGGTACTGAACTTGATGACCTCTCAAGGTCCCTTCCAGTTCTATGAGATAGGTATATCTCCATATATTGGTTATTGGTATTGGCTTTCTGATTTCCTGTGCAAAGCTCCATATGATTCCTTTTGTTCCTCTGTAACTATTTTTGTGCCTTGCCTTGAAGACTCAGTCATGGTAGGATATAGAAATATTTCATCTGAATAGCAATAATGTCATCATCTCTCCTGTCTCTGCTACTCCTGTGTGTGTACAAGAGGACATTAGGGTGTATACTGCCATAGACCGTTTCATGTCTTCACATGATTTTCCCTGTTCCCATAGCCGCCATCTCTTCCACTGTGGAACCCTCCATATCACCGAGTGTCACGAATGCCACAGGTGAGTGGCAAACGCATGCTCTGGGAGCTACCGTTGAGGTCCGGGAGAAGCCTTTTTTAGAATAGTCACAGGAAATATCTTCTCTCGTGTGTTCCTTCCCCAGTTCCTCCAGGGCACTGTACCATGTCCTGTTCATTTGACGATGGCTTCTGTGACTGGACGCAGTCGATCTCTGACACCTTGGACTGGAAACGTCACAGGGGACCAACCGACTCACCAAACACGGGACCCTCCTACGATCACACCACAGGAGGTAGGGACTGCAGCCTATGCCCGGCTCTGTTGTATAATTCACGAATTCATGGCCAGTGGGACAGGAATTCAGGAGCAGGCTGGAGGGGTTTTGGATGACATATAGATTCCATGCCCGTAGGGGCTGAGCCAGGAATCACGGGGTCAATGAAAAGTCTGCTATTAAGATCAGCAACCTTGGATTATTACAGGTGTAATGGCAACTGGGGTGAAAGAATTACATCATCAAAAATTAGGAACTTCCCTATATGGAAGGGAGTGCTTACTTTCTGTATCAGAAACCGGCTCCTGCAAAACCAGCAGTCGTGCTTGCAAAGCAACATCTACAAATGACTGGATAAACAAATAAAAAGAGGATAGAATTCTCTGAGCTTTTCTTCCATCCATTGGGAACGGGATTCCATGTGGTTTCTCTTACATTAAGGATGGAAATTCGCCAGCGCCCTTTATGCTGTTGGGAGCATTGTCATTGTCTGTCGTGCCCTGTGGACTGTGCATTGCTTTGTAACACACTGTTTGTTTCAGACGGTTACTTCATCTATCTGCAAGGGAGCGAGGCCGGACAGGGAGACAGGGCTCACTTGGTGAGTCCTGTGTGCAGTGCCAGTGGACCGCACTGTTTCCGCTTCTGGTATCACATGTTCGGAGTAGCTCATGCAATGGCACTAAGAGTTTACGTCCAGGATGACGGAGATCTAGAGATGGTCTGGTCACAGAGAGGAAATAATGGCGACAGGTGGAACTTTGCTGAAGTCACTGTGCACAACAGAGGCAACATGCTGGTAGGTGAAGTCACTTGCCTGGGATCTTATAATGACTGGGCTTTGCATGAATAATTAATGAATACAGAATCAACTACCACTGGCTTCTTCCCCTTCACCTAGATCCTGCTGGAGGGGGAGAGGGGTGAAGATTTCCGCAGTGACTTAGCAGTGGATGATGTATCTCTGGTGGATGGATATTGCCCAGGTACAGTGCATCACATCTGAGTTCCTGTTTGCATGGACAGGGACTCATGCCCTCCATTATCATTTTCTGGAACAAGAATATACAGTAAATTCCATGGCATTCTCTCATTATAGGAGATGAACCAACAACAACAGCGAGCACTGGATCAGTCACCACTTCTTCTTCTTCTGGGACGACCACGTCACTTCCTCCACCGAGTTCAGGTGAATTTCTCTGACATGACTGTCTCCTTAAAAGTCTGTAATGAATTGGCAAGTGTCAGATTTCGCATGGTTCCTCTTCTCTGCGAGAGCAGAATATGTCCCAAACGTTTGGAAATTCTTTAAGGGTGCGTGTATCTGCACCTTTATTTCATGATAACTAGCATGATTTCGGAAAAACAACTCGAGCATCTACACAGCTATTCTGGTATTTCGAAATAATTTCAAAATAACGGACGTCTCATTCCAAAATCTGTAAACCTCACTTGACGTGGAATAACGCCTACTCCAAAATAGCTATTTCGAAATAAGGCGTGTGTCGATGCTCCACTGCTGCTATTTCAAAATAGCCCCTCCTCCGGACCATTCTAATTTATTCCTCCCCAATGCCTCCCAGGGCTCTAAATCGAGATAGCATGTGTACATTAGGGAAGGCTGCCTCGGACTAATTTTGAGGCTTCCGTGCAGTGTAGATGTGCTATTTCAAAATAAGCTATTTCGGAATAACTGTTCCAGCTTATTTCAAAATAAGTGTATAGTGTAGACGTATCCTATGGGAATAATAGTGTGCATCTGGCCATCTTGATACTAGGATATTAAAGAGAGAAGGTGGGTGAATATCTGTTATTGGTGTTGATAGAGAAGATCTGATGATGATAGAGAAGTGTTGTCAGCTCTCAAATTAGTTCTTCAGAGTGATGATGAAAGAAGAACCCTTGTGTGCAATGTCAGTTCGGGGCCCTGATTTTGTTCCGGGAGAGAGTCAGGCTGCCCGCCTCACCATAAGTTGTCAAAGCCCAGGTTCTGTTTCAGCCAGACCAGACGCTGTTTCCGACAGACCAGAAATCCCCCTGTTTGGTTACACAAGAGGGCTTGTATGCTGAGACCACATGCAGGCAGTGTGTTGTAAGGAGTTGTAAGAACTACGGCTGTTTGCATAAAGGCCATTCTCTCTGTGTTTCTCAGATGACAGTTCTCATACTGGATCATTTGCAATCTCATTCAGAACTGTACAAGAGTCATTCTATTCCACTCAGCATACAACAGAATGGCCAGTGTCTTAACGGTAATTTCTTTATATATTTCACCAGGAGGATCCCCGACCACAGGAAGTCCAACTACAGAAAAACCTTGTCAGACAGGTAAGGTGGATTCCTCAGGACGGGAACAATGTCCTTCTCATTCTTGTTCGGGGTGAAAAATTGGTGTCTGAGTGCAGAATAGGATGAGACTTATTTAATAGTTTGAAATTTCTGCATTAACTTTAAAGCAGACCAATCCCTTAGCTCATGTTATTCACTGCTTCTACCTGAATCCCTTCCACCTTGCAAATGATAAAGTGACTGACCAGGTGGAACTAGTCCAGGTTTGTCTGACCATCTGAATCTCGCAGGAGGACAACCTGAGGCTAGCCTGCTGCCAGGGATCCGACTGGGCAGAGAAAATACATCAGCATTTACCCATCTGTCAGGTTTCAGTAAACTTAGTACAGTCTGCCTTTCTACTCAAATTGCAGTCACACTGTTTCACTGAATTAGTGGAGCTAAGGGGCCTCCTATGGCGAGAGCACGATGCTTTCACCTTTTTCCTACTGTATGTCAAGAGGCCACTGATTAGCAGTGGAGCCTTGTGCTCATCACTTAGCTTCTCCAGAGGAAATATGAGTCTATATTCAGTGAAGCTTCCTTTCTGGAGATCTGCAACAATAGAAATAAACATGACATGACCTCTACCTGCTTCTCAAAAGGCCGACTCCCCTGGCATGAGCTGGAAGTGCACACCAACACCATGTGCTCGCTGGAGCAAAAAGTAACAGCGTGTGACGGGGATTTGCTGGGACTAATCCACCTTTCTTCCTCCTAAGGCCGCGGCACCTGCAGTGCCTCAGGGGACCCACATTATAACACCTTTGACGGCAGAGTTCACCATTTCATGGGAAACTGCACCTACACCCTCTCCAAAGTCTGCAACGCCTCCGGGGGGCTCCCACCTTTCGACGTCTCCACCACCAACGAGCACAGGGGCTCCAATACCAAAGTGTCCTATGTAAAGTCCGTGAACGTGGACGTCTATGGAACTCAGATTTCCTTGCTGCAGAACAGGAAAGTGAATGTAAGTGAAAGGTGATTTAACAGCAATATTCCAATCATCTGACATTCCTAACTGAGACTTGTGAAAACTGAGACATTGGATTGCACTGACAGGTCACCTGGTGGGTTTCTCTTTTCTCACTGGCTGTGTGCGCTTCTTGGAATTAGGTTTGCGCTGAGAACGCTCAGGACTGGTAGTTGAATTTTGCTTTCTGTCAATTTTCTGCCATATTTGCTTCCCATTCCCAGTGTGAATGAGATCGCTACGTCCAGTGAAGTCCCTGAACTCCCTATTCATGGGCTACTCATTGGGAATCGGTGGTTACTCCTGGTGAC